CCACAATTTTAACCAAGCTGCATTTACACTCCTGTTTTCCTTAGTACATCTTTTTGAAACATAATAGAAAGCATGTTTATTGTATAGCACCATTGAAGAAGAAATTGCTGTGTTAGCATTCGATATTAGTTTTGCCACCATGTTAATTTACACAAGGGAGGGGGGGCTTTAGAAATTAGTAAAACAGACATATTTGAAACCTTTTACCCCATAAATGTGTTTGTTCTATTGGAATTAATTGTATCACTGTTATGTTTGTAGCACAGCATATCTGGTAGACAGCAACCAGGACTGGCCTTAGACACTTAGGCGCCCTGTGCAAATTATTTTCACATCCCTCTCTGGCCACTTCCTGTTCTCTGTGAGTAGTGCCAGTGTGTTTGTAGTGTCAGTGTTTGTGATTTTAGAGTACGTCTACGTTGTATTAGGTGAGTACCTGTGGGGAATGTCAGTTTCTGTGTGTAAAAATATAGATGAAACTGTGTATGTTTGTAACTGTTTGGGTGTTGTCGTGTGTGTAAATGCAGAGACTGAAAATGTGCATACATTTTAATTTTTAAACTAGTTTGCCTTTTTCTCACAGATTTATATCTCCTCATATTCTCACATATCTTTCTACCTTATTTCTGCCCATTTGTCTATCCTCCATTACTCCCCAATGTGTTTCTACCCAACTAGTTCATATGCTTATCATTCTGCTCATATTCACACTTGTCTATTTTAATCCATCTCTCTCCTGCTTGTCTATTAAGCACCCTTCCCTCACTGGTGTCTCTCACCTAGCCTTTGCCATAACTGTCTCTCATGCTCTGCACACACATCTCCATACTTGTATTTCTCCCTCATTTCCCATCACCAATTTTAGTTTATCCTGTATCCCATTTGTCTCTCCTTATACCAACACTTTCCAAATTGTGTCTCCCCTACTTCTAGCCCAGCTGGCTCTCTTTTATATCCACACATCTCTCACTTATCCCATCTCCCCAATTTCTAACCACTGTTGTATCCCCATTATACCCCTGTGCTTCCCCCAGTTCTAATCTCTGTTGTCTCTCTACTCCACCCCCTTCCTCAAGTATTACCTCTTTTGTATCTCCATTATCCCCCTGTCCCTCTATTTGTAAATTCTATTAGCCACATGACACCCACTTCATCATCAAAGTCCTTCTGTCACACTGTCTCACAATCTCTATTTCCTTCATAGTCTGCTTTATTCTCACCCAGATGTGTCCATATTATTTACTTACTATTTTGTGCTGGACAGGAGTGTTAGGTGTTGTTCTTCCTGTGCACTCCCTCGCAGAACTCCAGGGTGGCAGGCAGCCATTCTCTGTGTGGGAGTAGAGAGACAGAGCATAAATCCGCCTCCCATAACTCACTCTGCACAGGAAAACTCTTGCAGGCAGTGTGAAGTCAGAAATCCCCCATGTGCACTCTCTGTCTCTAACTGAGCAGGGAAGACACTGCAGTGAGAGCTCAGCTTGTCTTTCATATCCAAGGTGAGAGGAGAGTCCTGGCACCTTGCAATCTCTAAATCAGCCTGCCTGTCAGTAGAACCTGCAAGCTGTGTCGGCCCCATGGCGCCCCTGTTGCCATGGCGCCCTGTGCGGCCGCACAGCTCGCACACCCCTAAGGCCGGCCCTGACAGCAACTAGAGACAGTCTTGGTACTCAAAACTGCAGTGATTTACATTATAGGGTTAAAGGGAAACTATTCAGCTCAATTATTATTATTACTGGTATTTATATAGCACCAGCATATTCCGTAGCACTTTACAATATTATTTGTTACATAGTTACATAGTTACATAGCTGAAAAGAGACTTGCGTCCATCAAGTTCAGCCTACCTCACATTTGTTTTTAGCTGTTGATCCAAAAGAAGGCAAAAAACCCCAGTTTGAAGCACAATTTTGCAACAAACTAGGAAAAAAATTCCTTCTTGACCCCAGAATGGCAGTCAGATTTATCCTTGGATCAAGCAGTTATTACCTTACATTGAAAGATTATATCCTTGAATATTCTGTTCTTGCAAGTATGCATCTAGTAGCCGTTTGAACATCTGTATGGACTCTGATAAAACCACTTCCTCAGGCAGAGAATTCCACATCCTGATTGTTCTTACAGTAAAAAAACCTTTCCTTTGCCTTAGACGAAATCTTCTTTCTTCCAGTCTAAACTCATGGCCTCGTGTCCTATGTAAAGTCCGGTTTGTGAATAGATTTCCACACAATGGTTTGTATTGGCCACGAATATATTTGTATAATGTTATCATATCCCCTCTCAGGCGACGTTTTTCTAAACTAAATAGGTTTAAATTTGTTAACCTTTCTTCATAGCCGATATGTTCCATTCCTTTTATTAATTTTGTAGCCCGCCTCTGCACTTTTTCTAGTGCCATAATATCCTTCTTTAGAACAGGTGCCCAAAATTGCACAGCATATTCAATATGGGGTCTTACCAGTGATTTATAAAGAGGCAAAATTATATTCTTGTCCCGAGAATGAATGCCCTTTTTCATGCATGACAATACCTTACTGGCCTTGGCCACTGCTGATTGACATTGCACATTGTTGCATAGCTTGTTGTCTATAACAATTCCCAAGTCCTTTTCATGTGTTGTTATCCCTAATTCGCTTCCATTAAGGGTATACGTTGCTTGTGTATTCTTTATGCCAAAGTGCATAACTTTGCATTTTTCAACATTAAATTTCATCTGCCATTTGAGTGCCCAGTCCCCCAGTCTATCTAAGTCCCTCTGCAGCAAAGTAATATCTTGCTCACATTGTATTGTTTTACAAAGTTTGGTGTCATCTGCAAACACTGAAACATGACTTTCAATGCGGTCTTCAAGATCATTTATAAACATGTTAAATAGAAGGGGTCCCAGAACAGACCCCTGAGGGACACCACTTGCCACCTCTGTCCAGCTTGAAAATTTACCATTAATGACAACTCTTTGTACTCTGTTTTTAAGCCAATGTTCTACCCAAGAACAAGCATTTTCATCTAGACCGATTTCCTTGAGTTTGAACACTAATCTATTGTGTGGAACTGTATCAAATGCCTTGGCAAAATCCAAATAGATCACATCCACGGCAACACCCTGATCTATACTTCTACTTACTTCTTCGTAGAACGCAATCAAGTTAGTTTGACATGACCTGTGCTTCATAAAACCATGCTGATTTTTGCTGATAACCATGTTCTTCTCAAGGAATTCTTGAATATTATCCCTTAATAACCTTTCAAATATTTTTCCAGCCACAGAAGTTAAGCTCACAGGTCTATAATTTCCAGGCAAGGATTTTTAACCCTTTTTGAATTATCAAACGGGGATATTTAACAATTAATAAGACAGTTACAAAAAACTTACATGAACAATAGATTGAAGAGGGCCCTGCTCAAATGAGCTTACAGTCTATAGGAGGTGGGGTATAAAACACAACAGGACAGGAGATAGCAATCAAACAAGGTGGGAGTGAAGCAGAGATGGAGGAGAGAGTAAAGTGCTGCCCTTTAGGAGAGAGCAAGGGACTGGTATGTGAGGTAGAGGTTACTCTGGCAGGCCATAAGCTTTCCTAAAGAGATGGGTTTTAAGGCACTTTTTAAATGATTGAAGACTAGGGGAGAGTCTGATGGCAGTAGGCAGGCTATTCCATAGGAAGGGAGCTGCCCACGAGAAGTCCTGCAAGCGTGAGTTGGCCGTACGGGTGCGAGCAGCGGACAGAAGAAGGTCATGGGCAGAGCGGAGAGTCCGAGAAGGGGGCATACCTATGGATCTGTGAAGAGATATAAGAGGGGCTAGAACTGATCAGTGCTTTATAGGTATGGGTTAGCACTTTGGATTGACTCCTATAGGATACAGGAAGCCAATGTAAGGACTTAAAGAGGGGAGAGATGTGAGAGGACCGACTAGAGAGGAAAATCAGTCTGGCGGCAGAATTCATTAGACTGTAGTGGGGCAAAACGATTTGTGGGAAGACCTATTAGGAGAGAGTTACAATAATCCATGCGAGAGATTACTAGAGCATGGACAAGCTCCTCATTATCTTGCGTAAGAAAGAGGCGGATGCGGGCTATGTTTTTAAAGTGAAATCTACAGGATTTTGCAACAGACTGAATGTGAGGCCAGAATCAAGTTTGACGCTAAGACAGCGCACTTGCAAGGATGGCCTGATGTGGGTACCACTAACTCGAAGGGAGAGCGCAACGGGGGGGTCAGTATTAGGAAGAGGAATACAATGAGTTAAGTTTTAGAGAGATTGAGTTTCAAAAAGTGGGAGGACATCCAATCAGTGATGGAAGCAGTGACTCGTTGCAGGACGGCAGGGGAGAGATCCAGGGAGGAGAGATATATCTGACTGTCATCAGCGTACAGGTGGTATTGGAAAGTTTGCCAAGAGAGGAAGTATAAAGAGGGGGGTTCCAGAGGGAAATAGTGTGTATGTGACGGTTACCCCTATGGAGTAGGGTATCTACCGTTTGGGCGTCCTCCTTCCCAGTACTGGAGACCACGGCAGAGCTCCAACTCAAGGTCTTGTAGAGCAGGGCTCCCTCCTCCAGGAGGGTATAGCTGGGGCTCTCCTTCCAGAAGGTGTAGCAGGTTAGCTGGAGAGAGCTCTTATAAGTGCTAGTAGCGATATAGCTGGCAAACAGGCTTCTCCATAATCCAGAGGAGCAGGGCAGTTTGGCACATGGAAAGCCAGAGGAACAGGGCAGTTGGTCACACCGGTTTTAAAATAACAGATTCTTTCCCAGCAGAGTTAAAGGGCCAGACATAGTTTTTAACATCCAAGATGCAGAAATGGAGTTTGTAACCGGAAATGCACTCCAGGGGCCATATTCCCAGGGTAACCAGAGTCTAGGAGCGTGTTCTTGGTTGGAATACAATGCTAGTACCGTGATCCACACCATAACCACTGCGAGAAAAATCACCATAACTACTACAAGCAATGAGGGATTTTGTTACAGTGTAAGGAATACAAATACAGATTTGTATTCCTTACACTATATAATCCCTTTTAGGGAGACAGGGACAGTGCACCCAGACCACTTCACTATCCCTTTAGTGTAGTTTTTGTGTATGTGACTTGTATGTTGTGTAAATTAGTGTATGTGTGATATGTGTCTAAGTTTTCATGTCATTTAGTGAGTGTGTGTTATTTAATATATGTGTAAGTGACTGTGATAGCTTTAGTGTTAATTAGTGTGAATGTGCATTTATAAAATTAGTGGGAGAGTATGTTTGTGTTAGTGTGGCAAGTTAGAGGTACGTGGCTAATTAACCGTATGTGTGAGAGAAAGAGAATGCATATTGCTAGAAATGCCAAATTAAACAATTGGCATGAGTAAGTGCATTGTCACATACATATACAAATATTCACATATGTACATATTACATCAAAATATATATATTTACACACATTAAACCCAGGGTATAATATATCTTCACATTAAGGGGTTTGTACATGCAAGTGGGATAAAGCTTATAAGCGTTATATAGCGTTGGCTGGACCCAGTGCACCCCAAAACACATCAATTCACCCATCACTGGCTGCATCCATATCCACTTTCCTCAGGGTTATGCTTTAGCTTGCCACTGTGTGCAGTCTTTTAATTGTTGTTTTTTGCTATTCTGATTATATTAGTTTACATGTATTAGCAGTGTAAACATTGCTTCCAATAATTAGTATTATCTCTATTAATTAGATTCCTGAC